TTATATATTTATGTAGCCTATACGCTTTGTACTCCTGCGTCAGTTTCCGACATGTTAATGTCAAGTTGAAAATGAATGAATATTTCTTACTAGCATCGCACTTCACTTTTTAATGTGTGGAACTCTGGTTAGCAAGATTTTGTTTGTTTTTGTTTGGGATTTGTTTAAGGGGGAGGGAGTATTTGGGGGTTTTATTGTTTGTTGTGGTGAGTATTGTTGTCGTTGTTTTTTATTTTATAAAAAAACTTATTTAGCTCTACATAATTGTAAGTTATATTCAAGGTCTATAAGGAATTTTCATCACTTCTGTTTCTCGGTTCCATGCTTAATCTCGGTGAAATAAATGCACTCCAACAATTGTGTCAGAAATCGAGACTTTCAGTCTCAGATTTTTATGCTGTATGTCCACTATGCACGTGCAGATTCCAACATAGTAGGCTCAGATCTACCATCGGGTGTGTGACTAATGTGACTGGGTGGGACATCATGCCACATGTCTGAGGCATGATGCCCCAGTGCTAGACATCACAATAAATGTCACACTGCAGATATCGTAGCGATATGACGGAAAAATTGTTAAAGCTACGTTCAAATTATAAATCCCACCCACATTTTTTATAGCATTATCAAATACTCACCTATAATAGTTTATGCATGTTTACTACTACTACTATTTGTATGAAACCTGTATGTACTCATCCTCGAAGCCTGGTACATGTTTTATTATAGCAGTAGACAAATTGTTGAGTTTTTGACAGCATATTTTGTCTATCTTGTAAAATTTGAACTATATATATATATATATATATATATATATATATATATATATATATATATATATATATATATATATATATATATATATATATATATATATATATAAAACAAGGGGAGTTGTGTAGTTACCTGTAAACTGATTTGGCGATCGCTATCTAAGGAATGACCTCTCTCAATGTTATTTCCCAGCGTGAATAAACAGAATATATTGACAAAGAACTAAACGAGATTATTGAGAAGAAAGAAACAAATACGAACCCCTGTAAACAATAAAATAAAATAAATTATAATTGATTACTACATAAACTAAAACAAAACTCCAATGACAACCCCATATATTTACATTAATGGAATAAAATAGCAGTGTTCAATTTTCAGATTTGTTCATTATGTTTACTAGTGGTAATAAGAGTACAATGTCAACGCCGTCTTACATCACCTAGTCTCTTCTTTATTCTTGGTATATTCCTTGTCTAGCGTTTGCGCTTGGTCTTCATCTGACCCTTTCTATCCGGATATCTCTATATGCGGACATCCCTCTTGGATTGTCCTCATCGGTTTCTCGGGAATAGATACCGAAAACTCTCCTAAAATGGCATTATTACAGCTAAAGCGGTACATAATTTTCACCCTCTATCTGATTATAACCTCTCACTTTCGTCATTTAAGAACCATAAATAGCTGTCCACACTGCATAAATCCTGAAATAATGTGACCTTACGATTAACGGTTCTTACAAATGACCACTGTAGAATACATCCATAAATACATCCAAACTAGGCTTAATTAGTTCTCTCCTCACAGCAGCAATTGACACGTGGATGATGTGTATACATATAACGTGCCGTATCTATCATCATACAGTACTATACGTCTCCTTCTTGTTAATTCCACTCACTAAGATCAATGTTCGATTCTCATTGTATAAGATTCACTAAATCCTAGCTTACAGTAACCAATAGCATGCATAGACCATTTATGCCGTATATATCAGCATACAGTACTATCCTTTTGCTTCTAGCTAATTCTACTCAATAAGATAAATGTTCGATTCCCATTGTATAAAATTCACTAAATACTAGCCTACAATAAACAAAATCATGCATATATCCTTTATGTATTGCAAAATCGTATATAAATATGCAATTATCATTAACTCACGGTAAATAGTATCATCCTATAGACAAAGAAAATTAAATCATATAACCATAAATTTCTGCATAATTCATAAACCCTATACAATACTAAACATCTGAAATTAGGATTGCATCACAAATCTTTCGGTTCTATCAATAAACTAATAACTGTTAAAATAAAGAATTAAATTGCACAACACTAACATATCAACAAAGTTATATGAAATTGAATGGACGATATGTGCATGAATCATAAGCATTTTAGTAGGGGAAAAGCTTGTTCTGGGTCAGAGACCTTTTACAAACCTCCAAACAAATATAAATCATCATCTCAGAGACACCCCTCCCCGACCCCATCCCAAAACGACTTTTTTTTTTAAAGTCAGCGTGCTGGTTCTGGCTCAAAGATCTTTACCAACCCTCCCAAAACGACTTATCATTTTTAGCAAAGCTGATATAAATTACCCTCTCTGAGACTTTTATCTCAAAGCGGCAGAAGGTCAACCAGGCAAGTGAAATTTTTATACCTCATCACCAATGATCAATGTTTCAACTGTCGATATTAAAAATATTTCATCGTCGCGATGGTAGAGACTAAACTTTACTTTACCGTTCACGCGGCGATGACATTCGAAAGAATTCTTTATATTCAGCTTGTTACGAGGATATTTTTGTCGATTAAATATACTTTTGACCGATCGCTATCGATGGTAAGTTTAGTATATTTCTGTTGACTTATACGATCAGGAAAGTTTTCAAACTCAGCTGATAACTTCTTTCTCAACTGTTCAAGGTAATTGAAATACCTGCTCTCATCGAATCCGATGAAGATTTGCTTCAAAACATATACCTGATATTTCATTATTAATTGCAATTTTGAACTGTTTGCCGTCTATCATTGGATATTTGATTTTGCTATTGTAGCTATTTGTCACTGTCAAATTTTCAAACATTATTTTTATTGTTCATGCAAAATTACTTACCCTAGACACCGAATATGAGATCGAGTAGACCTGTTTTGCGACGGTGCCCAAGTACAAATGTATATACCCCATTTTCGCATTAATGTTAATAATCAATATTACGTAATTCAGGTTTGATGATGACACCTGTTCTAGTTTATAACGATTTGTTCGAATAGCCGTTGCTCTTATAAAACTAACGCCGCCGTCAAGTGCGAACTTGTAATCATCAAATTTTATAAACTTTTTATTAACAAAATCGCGAGGTAGACCTTTTGCCTTTTTCATTTTTTTTTTATTATTGTCTAATAATGCCGCGTACATTTTACTGCGCAATTCGATAGAGTATTTCATTATGCTCTAGTTCATTTCATCAATGAACTTACCAACAATCTTTTCATTTGTGTCGTCATGAAATTTACTGCCACGAGGGTAATCGGAAAGATCAAACAGATGTCGATTATCGTATATGTCCTGAAAGACGTCTTTACATTCAGTTTCATAAACGAGCTATTGGAAGAAATCCTCCTTATTTTATTCGATAGCGTTTTATTGTTCTCCTTTTCGACAATTTTCGCACTTGTGTCTGTTTTATATTGTTAAATAAAACTAAATAACCATATCATCAACGACTCAGTCTCAGCGATTTTTATCGTCGACGATAGATTTTTTTAATTGCACGACATTCAACTGCTTTTTTTTGTTGCGCCAGATATTGTCCCTGTCTCAGCCGCTAGTCCAAGTGTCCTTATTACAGGCAAAATTTTGCTAGCTATCACAGAAAATGCTGGTCAAAAAAAATTCCGTGGTGCTTTGACATTGCTGTTACTTGTAAACCAGGTAGTCTAAGAACAAATGGTTCGTTGCTATTGCGTGTATCGATTTGTTGTTGCGTTAGCATTACTTTAACCGTTGTTTTATTTGAAGTCTGAGCGACATTTGTCGTCGAAGGTATTAAAGAAACAGCTGCGTTTAGCAAGCGCTGCTGATAATTTTTCAACTTAGATATATTTCTCGAGTTGTGTACTTGATTGCCATGATGTTATATCTCATTGCTAGATTGAATTAACTATGTCTTAATACGTCAAAATAAAAGATGAGATAGCGTGAGCGAAACTTATCAGCGATATTTGAGATCCATTGTTCGCGTCCTGATATTTTTGCATTGCTTCCATGAAGTACATATGCGGCCCAGATATTTTTCTCGTATCGTCTGCAGCAAAACTGCATTTGATTGCACGTTCTGGATATTATTTGGAATTTACTCTCACAAATATTCTTCTAATGGCAGGGTTATCGATTACGGAATTGTTCATTTTTTGATCATTACGACGAGCTTATCGTTGAAATACGACGAACAAGTTTCGAGGTAGTTGTTCGCTATACGTGGGTGTCACACGCCATGTGCAATTAGTTAAGTAAGGAATTGATGTATGATAAACCATGTTTTGCTGGAAATATATTTATTTCGTGCAATCGGTGAATAATGATTCGAGTTCCATCGTTTTAGCTATAGAGTGGACAACTCGTGGCATCCGCAATGCTAATCTTGTAATAGCATATTATCCTTCAGCCACCCCATCTGAATGCATTATACTGTCGTTTTGATCAGCTCGATCTAAAAAAAAAGCGTGTGCTTTTTAGTCCTCGAAAAACTTTATTGTATTCTCAGCAGAATCAAAAGATTGTACTTAACAGAAGCATCATTGTTATTTGGCGAGATTCTGCAGCAAACGCTTTTCGTTTAGCAAATTACTCGTTATATTATTGTCCTCTTATTCTTGTCACCATCAATCTTATCGGGTCTCCAATATCACCAGCTGCATTACTAGCGGGATTGGCGATTACATTAGTCTTATCTGCAATAGGATTACTAACACCAGTACGAATATCGCTCGAAACAGCTGTTACGAATAAGGTAATTTTTCAGTCATATCGTTAAGATGTCTGCAGTGTGGCAGTTTAAAGTGATATCTCGCACTGGGGCATCATGCTGAAAGACATGTAGCATGATGACCCTTCTAGTCACATTATCCTGACAACAGGCCAACCAGTCCTAACACTAACTTCTTAATGCTGATCATCAAGCGAGGCATCCTTTAGTATAATTTTTGTAAGTCTTTGGTACGACTCGACCGGGGATCAAACCCACGACCTTCCGCATCTGAGGCGGACGCTCTAACCACTTGGGCACAGGAGTGGTGTTATAAGCAATTCCTATGACATTTTTTGTTATAATTTTAGTAAATATATTTCCAAAAATCCATCTACGCTTTTTCTTCTCTAAACATTTCTTTGTTTCATCTTCGTCTATAAAATGAAGGCTCACAAAATTGATCATGCTGACAATTTTGTTGTTAAGATCAATTTATCTCCACGATTGGGCTGTTAGTTGCATTGTTATACCTGTTATTTCATTTTCAATATTAATCGAATAATAAAAACCTGACACGGACTAATTTGCGTGATCGATCCTGGTGGAACGTCTGGCGAGAAACTATATATCGTTTTTCCTTTCCTAGCCTGGGCTGAGTAAGATCCACCTACAACAGAGGAATTGATTAGTAATGTGTTTACGTTGGTAATATTAACTGGCAAGTTACCATCAAATGTAATGGTCTCTTTCCCTTTACTAATGTTAGTTTTCTGAGGAAATCCGATCAAATATACGATACTTTTTGATGAAAATCGACCACCATGCCATTTTTAATCTTATTCTAGCATGTGATGTGTTATAGTTTGGTACTAGTTTAAATTTAAACTTTTTGCTATCAGCTCTTTTATCGTTTTATTTACATCAGTTATGATGTAGGTTCCTTGTTGAATTTTAAAAATTTTCCATGGATTTATTAGAAATTGATTAAATTAAATTTCATCATTGTCTCAGTTTTCGCATTAGCCATAGAGTTCCATGCTGTACAGGAAATTATTCCAATCCCATACTGTTTTTCAGGATCTATTTGTTTTGGCGGATTGTAATAAACAGAAAGGTTTGCGCTGTTTCCTGTTGTCTGCGACGAATCTAGTAATAATGTGGCTGACATTTTATAAGATCGCCTCGATTAAATTAAATCAAGGTGTAAAATTTCGTACTCATCTAGCGTCAGTAATCCGCTCGATCTAAGATGATCTAGTATATCCACAATTTCGTTATCGATCTCTGCACTTTCATTGCCAGCTTCTTTGGATGATATTAGTAACATAAGTTGGTTGACTAATTTTGCTTTTGATGTAAACACTTTAACTCCAGAGCCCTTAGTTTTGTCTGGTAGTATTTTATCACGTTTTCTTTCATACTTGTTAAGTAGTCTTTTAAAATTCCAACCTTTACCCTAACCTTCTGGTTTACTTTGATACCGATTTGCTGTTTTACCTAAAATATCAGCAATAACTCCGTCTCTCATTCTATGAAACACATGACGCATTTCTTAGTTTGTGCTAGCTTCTTTAAGCACTTTTTCAGCCATTGTAAAATCATCAATTTTACTTGTCAAAATTACCATCATTTCGTTGTAATTGTCATCGCTTTATTCTCGAATGTTGTTAAAATCATCAAGTTTGCATTTCATCAAATATTTTTTGAACAAAAGTATTTAATTCGTTTTCAGTTATTTTTTCTAGCTTTTTTCTAGCTTTTTTTAATACGTGTTATCTGCTACTCGATAAGAATCATTTCTATGGTGGCTTCAGTTATTTTTTTTTTCTTTAGTTTACTTTGACACATTTTCTTTTAAACTCCTTAACTCAGTTGGATTAATTGTCAGTCTTGCTATCGTATGTTGAAATGCAAGATGATTGTTTATTACTAAGTCAAGTTCGGCCTATCGTTTAGCAGGATCAGCAATGTATCTCACAAGTTCTTATGCAATTTTTTTTATATTTTATTCTTTCGATCTTTCTTTCAGTAAACCTAACAAATCTTTTGCTTGTAATTTCTAAGCTCGTCTGCGGATAGTGCACTAATTTCTGGTTGTTTGCCAAGTAAGTTTAGCATTTGCTTCCTCTGATTGAACTTGTCCAAGCGGAGTTTCTTCCACTTTTGTCTTAAATGCTTTTCGAGTTTCAATAAACTGCTTTAGTAATACGATTCTTTGTTGATGCTTGTCCATTATTTTCTCTGTTTTACAAAATTCGCTACAAAAACGTGCTAAGGCAACAACGAAACATGTTAGCCGGATCACGCGACAGCTTGTCAAATAAAAAAAATTGTATTTGTCTTATGTTGCTTGATGATATGATTATATAAATTTATCTTTCTTTCTTCATTGCTCGCTTGCAATATTCCTCACGTCAACATCATCCAGTCTAGGAAATAATATAAAACAACCAGTATTTCGCCTGATAAATCAATCGACGTTGGTATAAGCCTTGGGCAAGATAGACCGAATTATATTTTTTTTGTTACGCGAAAATGAAAAATAATATGTGATCTGGTTCATCTCGTCATTCTTTAGCGGAATATCGTCAAAGACAATTATTTTATGCTCGGATGAATCAAGTTCGTTAACTGGAATTAGTTCTTCTGATTGTCTTATCAAAAATATATCATCACCAACGTGCAGTTCATCACGAATTTAATCGCTGTACTCGCTCAATAACTCGTATTTATCCTGTTGCGGGTTAATTGAGTAAATATATACCCTATCATGGTTAAAGTTATCATTGAGCAAAAGATTTAATAACAAATTTCTTTTACCTGATCCTGTACGACCAAGACCAACAATAATGGTAATCTGGAAGTTCATTATTATGTCTATGATTAATTAATCGCTCGGTATCAAAATTTAAATTTGTTGTTAGTAATATCATTACTTTTAATAATCAAGGTAAATGCAGGTGGGCTGGTGATTCATTCACGGGTAATATCGTCATGAACCAAAATAAAATTACATACCTTGGAGACCCAACCACAGATACGGACACCTCAACGAAAAAATACGTTGATGATAAGGAAGTTCCAATAACAACTTCGGTAGCTACAATCAACGATAGAGTGGTCGCGTTCTAGACTTATTTTTCTAATCATGTTCAACTGTTTATGAACTTTCTCAGAAACGTTAAAAGCATCACTACGGAATTTTTGGAAGTTTATCAACTGTTGATATTAACACACAAATCAATTATATTGCCAGTGTGATCCCTGGTATTGTTGAAAAAAAAACCGAATCTTATTAAAATTCCGCATAAACAAATTAAAAATAATGTATACTCAGTAGCGTCAGATTCAGCAACGTGGTCACAGCAAAAAAAAAACTCCATCAAATATACCGAACAACTCACTGGTAGTTAGTTCTGCAAAGTTTAGGATTTTTACCACATTTCCATGGCGTCATTCAACCGATAATTTTTCTGGGACTGTATCTGCGGTGATAAATAAAGACGCTGAAGAAACATCTTCTGGAAGCATCTGATAAATATTTAACTTCATTTTCTTACAGGTGGTGTATGAAATTTTTAGCCAAAACACCACAATTAATCACTTATTCGAACCTTTATTTTATAATGTAAAAAGTATAGTTGATTCACATGTGGAATAAAATTCCAAAACAATATGTGGACGTGCTAATGCAATATAACATATATTATCATAAACCTTTGGTGTGTGAAAAATATTACAAATACTATAACGATATACTCAGGATAATATCATGTTTATCGTTGTTGATGACCGACTCTGGTATAATTTCAAGTGGAGCATTATTAAATCCGTTTTTGCTAATCACATCCGGTTGGTGTTTTTCTTGCAACAAAGTGTAAAAATTTGAACCTCGATTCGCCACTAAAAAATGCTTGCAAAACGGCTAGTATCACCTACCAAAAATTACTTGATCAGATAAGATCTTCATTTCTATGCGTATAAATACTATTCTTTTAGGTTTCCCGATATGATATGGCTGATTTAATACGCGAAATTTGTACTATTGATTGTATATTGACAGATATCTTGCCAATGAGAATCAGCAGGTATGAAAATAATTATCAAAGAAAGTATGAAATTTTGTGTGAAAAATAACAATAACGTTTGAAAAATTGACGACATCTGATTGTTAGAATAGGTCTTTAAGCGAGAACCAGCACACTGATTTTAGGAAATGTCGTTTTGATATGTGGTCATACATACATACATACATACTTTATTTACAGAGGGTGTCTCATTTATTCAGGATTATTCTTCCTTGAGGCCCTCTTAAAAAGAGTACAATTATGTGCATTATATGAATGACAAAGGTAAGTTGCTTTTCATTTTAATGCGTTTAGTATTAAATTCCATTATCCATTAGAAACACACCCATGCTCATGACATCTCTTCTTAAATACGGTAATATTTTCAGCATATTCAACATATAGTGGAAGTTTGTTTCAGAGTATTGAAAACTTTTTTAAATTGCTCTTTTCTTGGATTTTGGTGCTTGAAGGTTTCTGTGTGACAATGATTTCAACTGATAATGTGATGAAAAAGTCCTGAATGAATTCTGGATATTCTCTGGTGTAATTCCTAGCAGACATTTATATACAAGAACTTCATTGTAAAAATCTATCCTTTCATATGATTTGAACCATTTTATTTCTATAAACAATGCCTTTGATGTTCGTTTCTGAAATTTATAAATCCCGCTAAGCTGCGATTTGGGATAGTTTCCCCATATATTTGAACTATATTCCATTGTTGGAAGAATGTATTAATTGTAGCAAGGATTGCGAGTTTCTATAGGCAAATAATTATTGATTCTGAATAGTAAGGAAATTTTAGATGACAGTATTTTACAAAGGTTTTGCAAAGCTTATCAACATGGTTATCCCATTGTAAATTATTATCCTCAGACATGCATTCAAGCGTTTTATGTTTGACATTTTCTAACTGATGATTATTTATTGTAGGGGATAGTCTTGGATTCCTTAACTTGTGTCGCTTTTCGCTGTCCATTAAATCATACATTTTGTCTTACCTCCATTAATTACCATCCTATTTTATTGTGCACAATTCTGAACTCTAATAAGGTCTGATTTTAATCGGTTTTAGATAACTTCAGTAACTGATCCCTCTCTCTCTCTCTCTCTCTCTCTCTCTCTCTCTCTCTCTCTCTCTCTCTCTCTCTCTCTCTCTCTCTCTCTCTCTCTCTCTCTCTCTCAACGACTCAGGATATTGTGACTGGGTAGGACATCATGCTACATGTCTGCTACATGTCTGCGGCCTGATGCCCC